CCCTTAGAAAATTAAATTTTGCTGAATTTCTCATTCTTACGTGAAAAATATGTATCTTTTGTCGATAATTTTGATAAAATTTTCGCATAATGGTTAAGCAATCGGCGCTTCGTATTTTTTGCGTGACGTCATGCAATGTTAGACACCCCCCCTCCCGCCCACGCGTCGCGCGAGCTCCGACTCCGACACCCCGTTTAAATGTGACGTAATTTGAATCGATTTCTAAATTAAGGACGTAAGTCCATCGCAACGTCTCAAAATGTACGTGGCCAGTTGGTTTTCATTCTGCAATGTGGGAATACTTTTTATGGCCCGTCCATTTGAACAAATTTTCATCGGAAACTAATGGCACGCACGTTATCCCTTAAATGAGTTTAGAGATAGTGGCTCCATATTTCAAACTAAATACCGTTTCATCCTCGTATCGCCGAACTAACTGAAGGAATAAAATACAGAATTTTCCGTTTGCGACGAATCAAATCCACTGAAATTGCCGGCCGGATAGATACTTCCTGCAGTCTTCAACCGAGTGAAAATGCACTGTCTGTAGCAATTTTGTAACGTTCTGATGGACTTGCTCCCTTATACAAAAAAACGATCCATTCACGGCCTCTGACAAACAATCAATAGCAAGTGCTCACCTGCTTCCTCCAGTTGAAAAAGAAATTGATTCGAATCCTAGCTCCCCCCCCCCCCCCCCCNTGTACATCGTGACGCAACACCAAGCCTCAGCCTTTCTCCCCTCGCCAAAACGTCCCGTAACGCTCTGACTCAACTTTTCCCTCCACGAATATACGCGTTACGCAATCTTTATTAACCGCTTCCTAGGGGGCCACTCAAAAACTAGGTAAGGCATTTTGGTCAAATTTTTTACCCTTTCTTTTTTTGCACATTACCCTTTTGTAAGTTCATTCGACTGTTGCTATTTTTTGTGTTAGAGTGACGTGCGATATATCGCATCAATCCGTTCCATAATTTCAGCTATAATTGTCATTTTTTCCGAATTTTGAGATCGACTTATGTTGAGTCATGAGACTAAAGCATTCATAAACCAACTTTGACAAAGAAATTCAACGTAACGAAGGTAGGGTTTTTTTAGAGGAAAAATATCGCATTCGATACTGATATCGAAAACTGCAGTTGAATGCGATATTTTTCCTCTAAAAAACCCCTGCCTTTAATGTGTTGAATTTCTTTGTCAAAGTTGGTACATGAATTCTTTAGGTAGCTGAAATTATGGAACGAATTGATGCGATATATCGCACGTCGCTCTGACACAAAAAAATAGCAACCATCGAATCACCTTAAGAACAACCCCTTACCTCGCAACTCTCGCATTGCGCAAAACTGGCCNCAAATTTTGAGGAAAACAGCGAATTGACCTCAAAAATACGTAGAAAATAAAACATTCTCATTGATTATTATATTTTCAACGGAAGACTTACGTAAGACAAGACTTGATCCTCCTCCCCGCCCCTGTCGCAGAACCCAGTAATGCAGGCTTAAACCCCCATCCCCTAAAGGGTTTACGTAACACTCGAATGGCCCCTCATGCTGCCGTGCTAAGGAAGAACGCCGTATGAACATTCGAAAGTTGCCAAAATTTCCTGGATAAAACAAGTATTTTCGACGACACTCATGCACTTTTTCTTTGAAATTTTCAGATATTTCAGCTTGAATTGCGTACGAAATTGTCTGAAAATTTTGAGTAAAAAGATATTCACAATTTTCCCTGCGAATGCGGTATTTATCGAAAGAAATTTGGCAACGTCTGATGGTTCGTACGGCGTTTTTCCTCCGAACGGCGGCATGGTCCCCTCGACAAAATGCGTTCGAATCTCCTGCAAAAACCCGGCAACGCCGAGAGGGAGTTAAACCCCCCCGCGACTGCCACCGACCCCTGGAAAAGTTCGTGCGGCCTAGCCGCCTCGTGTCTCCGGCACCGCCGGGGGGGGGGGGTTGGAGGGGGGTCGCTCGCTCCTCGGAAACCTTAGAAGTGCCCCGAGGACCGAGGAAGCCTCTCTTTCCGTTTCCCTGTGTCGAGCAAGCCCCGGTCCCAATTCCCGACCCCCTCCCCCCCCCCCTCCGTGCGACCATAAGAAGTACTCAGAAATTACCCTCTGAGTTAGCGCCCGAAAGAGAAGCTATGTAGCGGGACTTTCCTCCGGTTGCCGTGAGCTTTTCTTGAGCGCCCACTCTCGAGAATAATTAACTCCGTCCCCGAAATGAGAGGAGGAGGGGGGGGGGGGGTGTCGAAACACATAACCTAACCCCGAGCCGGTGTTGATTTTTGATTTGCGTTGTCTTTTCGATGGCTGCTTAAAAAACTGAAGGAGTAGACCTGCACTCGAGATTTAACCTGGTAACAGCGGACGATTTTAAGGGCCTCCAAAGAACTGCCCCTTTTCTCGAGAACTCAGGGATTTCATTGAGATATGATTCAAATGAGACCTCATATTGAAGACATGCCTCTGACAAGAATTCTATCTTCTATAGTGTAATAAACTTGCAAAGTTCACCATATTTACACGAAAAGAGGCATTTTTAATGCTTAAGGCTTATTGGTATAGACAACGCTATAATACCAAAACCTATTGGATCGCAAGCTGAAACTTTTATCAGAAGCTAGTGTCATTTCATTTCCGTTACGGTCAATGAAATTTCCGAGTTTCCCGGAAGATGAGCAAAAAATGTTTCTTATCATTTTTTGGGAGGCTTTTTTTAAATTTTGGACGGTTGCACGAAAAAAAGGAAAATTAGCACCAGTTATGCTGGGCGGTCTAGCTATATGATATCCAGGAA